CTCTGGGCGCAGCATTTGGCAGTTTGGGCACGCAGGCCGCTTCAAAAGGGTCTGTGCGGGCAGTGCTTCTACTGGAAGCTTGTCTTCTCTAGCACTGCTCTTCTTGCTCTAACTAAACAGAAAACCAACACACAAGGTTTGAAACTGAAACTCTCAGAAAGCAGTATTTAACTTCACAAAGATGTCCATCTGTAACCCATGCTTTTTTTTTAACAGCTTTTGATCTGCTGGTCATCTTATTTCCACAGTGTAGTATAATTGTTGCAGATGTATGCTCTTTATGCTCTTGCCTGTTAAGGCATATACTGAAAGTTGTTTTGCTGTTAGTACTAAAAAAACTGGTCCCTGTTTTTTTCCTATCCAAAAGACAAACATAAATTTTCCTCTAGTTTCCATGCACATTAATACTTTTGTTGGGGCTTTTTTGTGTTGAGAAAGAAAACAGCCTATGAATGTTTTGGTACTTCTGAATTCCTAATGGTTTTGTTAAAACAGACTATTGTAAATTTCCACTTACTAAAATTGGCCATCTTGGAGCAATGTGAGACTTCTGTGTAGAAATAACATGAAAGTTGTGTAGCAGACACAAGCAGAATCCATTCAGAAATATGTCATTTCATACTGATATTGCCAGACAAGTATGAAACCTTTTGGTACACTTAAAGCAAAAATGATGCATTTATGCAGATATTTTTAACTTCAGGCAAGTGTTGAAACTTTGATAAAAATTCTTTGCTCTGAATTCTTTGCTTTGAATGATATGCTTCAGATTTTTCTAAAATTCCTTAAATGTTTAAACATCTGATTTTCTCTGTTGCAAAAGTTTCCTTTATGTAGCATTTCTCTGTATTTAGTTTAAGATATTGGGAAAATACAAATTAGATGCTGTTCCATGGGAACTTTTGAACCAGTGCATTTAATCCCTTGTTTTGTATGTGGTTTAGATATTTAAAAGCTACTTAACGACCCAAAATGCAGTCCAATGCACCTTTGTCTTAGTATCTAGAAAGGCAGAGGCTCAGTGGTGTACGTTTCTAGTGATACTCCACAGTTTTGGCAGCATTTCAATTACAATGCAAAGTACTTATTATCTGGCTTTTTATTAGTTAAAGAACAATTAAAAAGTCTAAAGGTGTTCTTTTTTCTTAAGTACTACAAAAGTAAGTCAGTGAATACTTTTTTTTTTTTTAAATGGAAAACTGTGCTTGTGAAATTGTTGAAGGAAGGAAGTCGATGTCTATTTTAGATGCCTCTGCCCCTCACTGAAGTAGTGAGTCTTGCTTGAGGAGGTTATACAAGGCCCACTGTGTGGGAAGTTACCCTTGAGGCTTCAGAATATGCCTGTGATATGTCTGTAAAATGTTTACAACTGCAGCCATACCAGTGCAGTTTCATACTTGGATGTGCAACAGCAGTGTGAGTCTTTGCAAACATATATGCAAGTCAGTCACTGCAGCCTTAGCCACACTAGAAGGTATCTGTGTGCTAATGTACAGTGAACTAGTGATTGAGTTCATAAGGGACCATTTACTCTTCACTAGATCCCTGTATAGGAACTTAAAGGGAGCTGCAGTCTTCACTGTATAGCGTGAGCTAAGAATAGAGGGGGGGTTTGTGTTACCTTGCTTGATGAACCAGTTTTAATGCCTCAAGCTAAGAACTTAAGTTTTCTACATGCTAAATGAGCAGGGGAATGTAGAAAGAGATCAAGTTGTCACCTCTGGAGAATGGAGAAGGTATGCTACACTTTTTTTCTGAATGATATAGAAATGTGGACTGTTGGCACTGGACAGTGACAATAATCCCTCAAGTACCCCAATGGGAATGTGGTATGAAGTATCTTACTGTTCTGTAAAATCACACATTGGCTTCCATGGAACTGCGTTCTCTGTAAGTGCTTTGATGGATGGACCTCAGAAAGGGTAGCTCTTGATGGAAGGCTTGGTAAATTCTGTTCTACCTTCTTAGGTCTGTATCCTCACTTTAAGTCTCCACCTTTTTTATTTACTTAAATAATTTATCTGAGGCTGTGTCAAAAGTCTGTGGACTAGCTGCCAGGGAAAGGTGGGGGGGAAATTCTAATACTGTTGTATTCTAGTACCGTTGTACATTGTATTGTTTGCTTCCATAGTTGATTTTTAAAAAAAAAAAAAAGGTAGAAATTCTAACTTTCAGTCAAACCTTCCATCTCTAATAGAATTTCACAGAACTTGAGTCAGTGAGTCTGTGGCCATGAGTCAAAATGAAAATGTTTGTACCAACAGCATTATTATAGGCACGGCACAGTTTGAGAAGTAATTGGTAGTTAAAATTAGAAGCAAAAAGACTTGAGTCCCTCAGAAGTTAACTGTTAGAGACAAGTCTAAGCTTAGCTTTGTCTCCTGGCATCTTGGATACGACCTGATTAAAGTGGAGTGTTGTTTAATATAATAAAATGTGTTGTTAGTGTATCGGTGTTTATACATTGAAATAACTTTATTCAAACTAGATGTTACGTAAGCTAGAAAGGTGTGCGTGCTTCTTTAAGACTGATAATTTCTCCAGTTTGAAAACACAAATTCTTTCTTCTTAGGGAATTGGTCAGCTTTTCACAATGTATTTAATCTGAATAACAACTCCAGCTGCTTTAGGTAAATAAATAAGTACACATACACCCCCCTCCCTAATATATATACACTTAGAATATCTGTGAGAAATAATCCATATAACATTCGTAGGTGTATTACATAGGTCAGAAAACACCAAAATTATGGCAAAGACCTTGTGATCTACATGTAGACTGCAATGGAGAAATAAGATGGAAGGAAAATGCAATGAGGAAGGATAAAGTTAAAATGACAATGTGTATATGAAATTACTGCCATTTTTTATGTGCTGTGGAAAACATGGTCAGTGACAGAGGGGGCGGAAAATTAAAGGAACAGTAAGTTTCAGCTTGGGTTGGAAAGAGCTTTCATAAAGGCATCAAGGTGATGCATAGGAGAGACTGCAAGAGGAGTAAATAAAGAGCATGTTGGTGAAGACAGGTGGCCATAGCCCAGGTGTAAAAATTCAATATTAACAAAGAAAAGCTTTCACATGATATACTTATCTGCTTACAAATGACAATGTTTCACACTGTAAATCTGAAGGTCTGGAATGATTGAAAGTCAAGAATGATCAAAGCACAAAATCTTGGCATTCAGAAATAGATGTCTATGAAATCATGTACTGGTCTAAGCTGTATTAAAAAACTGTTAGTTTTTTAAAGTCCCTGTACTAAAAGCTGAAGTATTAAAGACGATCAAAAAAACTTAAATTTTTATATGTATGTGGAGAGAGGCAGGTTTTCCTAAGTCCACATATAAAAATTGGAAAGGCTAGAACTCTTTACTTGGATCAGAATACAACTATTCCCTGTTTATACAGTAGTGGTTTTGATGGTACTGCTGGTGCTGCTTTATTTTTTTTTTATGGTCTTCCACCTCTGTCTTGATGTGCCAGGGAAACCTTTCTCTTCAATTTTTTCTGTCTTGGAACTCACTGGGGCATTTGGAAGGTCAGGTAGACATTGAGGTAATGGTTTTCTTTGTAAGAAATATTTTCTTCTCTAGGATGATGAGATCTTGAAGAGTGAAAGGGAAGGAGCAAAGGTGTTATTGCTGAATAATAGTTACTTTCAGAACTTGAGGACATTTTCCCTTCTGAAGCAGCTGCATTGAAACTCTGATACTTAACCAGCCAGTATTAACAGCTAGGTGCAGCAAGTGCTGAGTAGTACCAGTGGGTCTAGCACTTCAGTTCTCAAGTGCTTGTTTTATGCAGAATCTCTGCATGCATCAGCATCCAAAAAGGTAACTTTAATACCACAATTTCTGATGAAAATCTTCCTTCCCGTGTTCTAATCTTTACAGTACTGTATCACTAAAGTTAGGTAAAAAGCCTGAATGTTATAGCTAATCAAAATGTTTGAAGTGTTTCATAGTTGATATTTTTCATTAATAACTTGTTTAATTCATTAATAACTTGTAACATGAAGTGAAGTTTTGGGGGTTTCTTTCCAAAATGTGGTGAAATATGGTACTCTTGGTGCTGTCTGCAGCTTCTTCTGTCCCAATTACCTGCAGCTTTCTGGTGATTTCTTTACCATTTGCATGTTTCTGTAAAAGTCTGTGACCTTATTAATTGGCCAGTTAAATTTTCTTGTGTTTGTATATATAGTACTGAGCACATTGACTTGTACAGCGATACAGTTGTAATTCTTCAAAATACATACTTGCCATGTATAATTGCAGGAGAAAGAGGAGGATTTGGTGAATAGCTTTTTTTGGAGAACAATATACCTTATTAAGCTGAGGAGACACATATTCAGCCTTGAGCTCATCTTTAATCATGGTTTTGTTGTCAGTTTAATTAACCAAGGAATATTTTTCCTACAGATTTAAATAGACTAAATATCAGATAACTTGGTTACCTGGAATCTTCTTTTTAAAAAATGGTTTAAATTTTTAAAGGGTCTATATCCAGTTGGTGTAGTATTGATAGTATTACTAAATAAATGCCTGGATCATTTGTATTTCATGCCTCTTCCTTCTGACAGTGGCAACCATACCTCAGTACTATACATCAGACTCAATCACCTGTATGAGATCCAGTTCTGTTTCACTTGCAGCCTTGCTTTGCATCTAAATTGCTCTCTCTTTCAGTGACAATTGAGATTGTTCAGAACTGAACAAGATTGTGTCCATTGTAACACTAGAATGTAAAGCTGAAAACTCTGCATAAACAGGATTTACCTTTCAGTTGCATAGGACCCACAAATTAAATTGTGTGTTAAATATATTTGCATTTGTCAAGGTGAGAATCCTGTGTTTAAAAAAATCTCCTGATGTGTCCTCTCTGATACAGAAATCTTGTGTTTCAGTGCCTGACTAATCTCTGCCTTGCTGATGCTTTTGAATGAGCTTTGTATGTGAAAGCTCTACTAATCCTTGTACTTACTGTTTGAATGTTTGCTACAGGAAGCGAGCAGCTGCAAAGCATCTAATAGAGCGCTACTACCACCAGTTAACTGAGGGCTGTGGAAATGAAGCCTGCACGAATGAATTTTGTGCTTCCTGTCCAACTTTTCTCCGTATGGATAACAATGCAGCAGCCATTAAGGCCCTCGAGCTTTATAAGATTAATGCAAAACTCTGTGATCCTCATCCCTCCAAGAAAGGAACGAGCTCAGCTTACCTAGAAAACAATTCCAAAGGTGCCCATAACAATTCCTGCACTGACAGAAAAATGAACAAGAAGGAAATGCAAGGCCCAAGAGATGACTTTAAAGGTAAGATATTATTTTACAATTTTCCTAAAATAAAATGCATTTAATATGCACGAGTATAACCCTATAGAATTCACTGTGGTGGTATTCTGCTGACTTCTTAAGTAAAATACAATATTTGGCAATCAGGTATTTTACTATGGATTCTGAAAAATGGCTGGATTAATGCTGAACACTGATTCCAAATCTGGATCTTTACCACATCTCTATTAAAATCCATAATGCATTTGTTGCCTTCTGAGATTACAGGGTTTGCAAATATGGAGAGTTTTTTAAGTGCTGTTGTATGACTGTTTTAGTTTCCCTAGTTTCATAACTCTTCTGTAGTCAATGGGTTAAAAAAAGCTATACTTTAACTAATTCCAGATTCTGTGTTAAGAAACTTAACAGATGAACAAAAAATGATACAGTGGATGATGGGCAATACATCTACCAAGCTCAAAAAAGTTTAAGCAAAGTGATTTCTAAGCCAGTGTACAAAAATGAAATACTGTTCTGTATGTCTTTTCTGACTTCTGTTTAGCTTTTCAAACTCTCTAGAATAGTAAATACATACTACGAGAATAATTTTAGTTGTCATCAAAACCTGTGCAAACAGAAATCACAAACTAAATGAAATGAAAGCCGTTAACCTTTGAGAAACCTTTGAGCAGACCTTTTTTAAATACCATTGCAGTAAGTGGTTATAAACACAGAAGTTCAGATTCGTTCATTTTAGGTAAAGAAGGTGAAACTGTTTACAGCAAAGAATTAAAAAGGCCTGTAGAACCAGCAATAAAGCATAGCACTGTGTTATAAGGGACCTAAGACGCTCCAGTCAATACCTGCATCAGTTTGTTCTTTATCTGATGCAAGGATAAACTTGTCCCCAAATTATTTATGATCTGAGTAAGCAAAGAGGCAAAACAGTAGGGTGAGGAGAGGGGAGCCAGTGTAGTGTTAGACAGACAAGAGGCTCATTAGGTCTGTTTTATGATTTGTCTCGTAGTTTTGGGTGTTTTTAATGGAGGTGTGCACGTACAGGATTTTCCTCCTTCTCCCCGACCCTACTGTCCTCTCTCCCCAAAACAGATATCTAAGAGTTTTCTCAGCCTATCTCCAGAGACAGTCTGTTGTCTAAAGCAATGACTTTTCTGTCTTCTGACTTTATCTGTTGCAGCATCACAAGTATTGACCTGTCTTTAGCTGTATGGACAGAGAGCATTAATGTGTTCTTAAAGCCCATCTGAGACTCTTAGTTACCTCTGGAACTGGATGATGTCTAAGGAATCCAGCGCTCTGAAATTTTTTAAGGTCCATCTGCAGCAACAGTTACTGGGAAAACTGCAATTAAGTTTAAGAAAGCCAAGGAAAAGGATGCGCAGCTTGCTTTTATGCTTGACATAGGATTGAAAGTTCTAAATAAATTGAAAGAAATGCCCTTGAGAAAGAATTATTTAAATTACTTTGCTCTAGTGCTAAGCTGTAAGACTGTTACCTCAGGGAAAAATGTATCTGGAGACCATTGGCAGCATCTCAGTAATATCTAGAGATGGCAGTCCAAAGAGGAAAGAAATAGAGAAATTGCAAACACATAAAAAGCATGGGTTTCAAATGTAGTCATATAGAGACAGAGCGCCATTTCAAAATCAGTGTTACAATTACCTGGGAAGCTATTTTCAACTTCCGTCACCAAAACATTAAATTGGGAACAGAGAAGGTCAGTAGACAGGCAGTGAGCACACAATCATAACAAAGTTTCTATAAGAGATAATGAAAAGATAATTAATAAATTTGCTAATTAGGGAGCGTGTTGGCAATATATAGATCACATGCAGTCTTTTTCACAGTCAAGGACCACTGTTAAAAGCTTGACTTCACGTACAGATCTGTCATGGAATATTACTGAGAACAAGATCTGAGAGGAGATAAGTTTACTTCACTGGATCGCTTAGTTGCAATAGAAAGGGTGAGAGGAGAAGGCATGTAAAAGCTCACATACTCAGACACAAGTCACCTAAAATTGACTTGAGTTAGAAGAAAGCTTCACTTATGTTTGTTTTGCTCCAGCTGTTCTCACTGCTGTAAAGTAAAAATGGGGCAGACCTTTATGGCAACTCAGACGATGGTTACAGGATATGACTTAAAACTGTTACGAAACTGCTGATGGTAATACTAAATATTTTAACTGGAAATAGCATATGGTTTGTTCCTTAAATACTAAAACCTGTAAAAGAATGACTGGGGAATTCCTGTCGTAAGTATGGAAATCTGAAATGTGTTATATTGTTATATCGTCAACTTTACTGATAATTTTTATGCTGTGAATAAGCTCTGCAGTCCAGAGTCAGTGAACTTGAGGCTATGGTCCTCACTTTGAGGAGCTATGGAACAGCATCTGTATCGCAGTTCAATTTCTTTTAGGCAAGTTGAGCATGCACTGCAACAGATAAAAATAGGAGATGTTGCACTAAGCTTGAATCCTTTCATAATATTTTCACGTTTTTTTTTTAACAGAACATTTTAGTTTTGAAGCTTTTTCACTGTCTTCAGATTGGTTGGAAGTCAATCTCAGTAGCCTGACATAAGCTTAATCTTTCCTGTGTTTTGTGCTCCAAGAATGGCTTGGGGCTCTGCGAAAATCAATAGGTTGTCTGTCTTTGCATTGTTCAGTTTGTATTTTTAATTTGATGACTGCTTGGAATGAATGTTAGTGTAGGCAGTCACATTTCAAAATACTTTAACATATAACTGTCTTTATTAAAATGATACGCTTCCTTCTTTCTGCAGAGCTAGTTCTAGCATGGTTGATGAACACAGTGCTGTGATGTGTGGTTTTTAGATCTCAAGAGATGCTATTAAACAGATTCAGTTTTAGTTCTAAATTACGTGTCAGTTTAGAAGAATCTGCTTAAACTAGAACGTCTTTTCAGGGTCTGATCATGTGGTAATCCTACTCTAAATCATCACCTGATGTGAAAGCACCTGTGGGTTCTGTTTGAGAAGAAGCATAGAAAGCTATAAATAATGTTTTCTCCTCATTTCTAAAGAAAAAGGAAGATTTCAAATAACAAATGGACGACCAAATGACTTCTTTCATATCAGGGGCTTGGGGCAGGGGGAGAACAGGATCAGGGGCTTGAGGCAGAGGGGGAACAGGCAGGTATTTGGAGCCCATGGAGGTGATGTGTGTACACCAGCTTGGTCATCTGAATAGCACGTTGATGAGTGTACTCAAGTTGTTTATGCCAGTGAGGCCAAATGTACAAAGAAATAACCCACATGCCCAACTGTGCCTGTAATTTAGAAGGCAGCATAAATTTCTGAGCATGTATTGCGGGTTTTGGGGATGATTTTCAGGCATCAGTTTGGTATAAAAACAGTGCAGAAAGCATTAAAAACAGAAATAAGAAATCTTATATTCTCGTTAATATACAACAAAACAAATTCTTGAGTTTTTTCTTCAAGATCTGCTTTTAAGGGAGAAAGAGTG